AGACTCTCACTGATTATGATTTTGTGTTGTTAAGTAGGTGCCGAGACGAAATCCATTCCTTTGGCAACTACTAGGCAACATTATGCCAAAAATTAAAAAATTATTCCAAAGTGAAAATGACATGATGAATTACATATCAGGAAACAGATCCATGTTCATTGGTGATGGGCTCGGACGAGATGAACTCAGCATCAGATAGAGTGCTGAGAGAAATCATGGGGATGAGCAGAGACGATGAATACATCATGTTTTCTCTGCCCAACACGACCCAACAAAAGTACCTGATTCAAGAGATATGTGCCGGACAATTTGATATTATGCATGTCAAAGTTTTGGGCATAGAAAGAGAACAAACGTGAAGAGTTTGTAAGAAATTACAGCTTGGCATTACAAGACCCAGGCACCGTGAACAAAGACATTCTGGGCTCCTCCGGTATCTGCAGGAAAGACAGCCGGATGCAGGCCCACTGGCGGTTCCCCTTCAACTGGTCCTCATGACAATATTTGGTTCTTTGACCCGCAAGCTGTGAACAGTCTGACCAACGGCAACGGAACTCTTCACAAAGACACATGACTTGTACATCCAACGGTTGATTCAGAGGCTAAAGGAAACACAGAAACAAAACCTTGCGACATGGATGAACTGAAGAGAAAAGTGGATAAGTTTCTTATAAAGATTAGAAAGAAGCATATGTGAACCACCTTCATGAAGGCTGTGGTTCTGTCCGCAGTCTTCAGTACAGAGGCTGAAGGAGGCATGTCGCCTTCTAGAAAGTCTCCACAAAAGAAGTTCTTGGATCGTTCTGTATTCCGGCGCAACTTTCTTGTCAAACTTCGAGGAAAAGGTACAGCTATCCTCACAAGGGTTTCCAAGACCTTTTACTCTGCTATGCAATCTGTGGGCATTCTGAAACGCATGAACTGGGACTAAACATCCCCAGTATAATGTCTGGTTTTGACAACTGTTTCTCCTCTTCGTGAAGATGTTCCTGGAGATGTTGTTAGATCCTGCCTCAATGACTGCTCTAAGAGATTATTAGAAACCAACGTGACACTATCAAAGAAATCAAGGTAGTATTTCAGAGCGTTCTAGAAGGAGGCCCCACCAAGGAAGCTGCCTTGTACATCGGCCAAGGAGAGCAAAGTTGGGACTTGGTGAAGTACCGAAATATTCTCATTCATGCTCACGGGTTTGCTTCACCTCGGAGGAGACACTGCAGAGGAGAAGAGCCACTGAGCTTGTGGAACTTACTGCAAGGCCACTGTATTTCGTGACACATCTCAGTGGCTGGAACTTGCTCTCTGAGGTCAAGTGCGACGGCACAATAACTGCATTAATTTCCAAAAAATTAATTAACTCACTGGAACACATATTAATAGAGAGATGGAGGAATTAGCTGCAATTCCTGCGTGTCCTGAGCCAACGCCGTCAATCCTTGGACCAAAAGAAGACCAGACATCCCATCCCCTAGTGAAAACTCCTAAGGGCTATAAAGGCAAGACGTGAAGAGGTGGAGCTACATGGGCTGCGCCACGACTTCGAGCACCCGAGAAGCCGTGCGGCAGCGTCCTCGAGGAAGCGCTTCAGCACAGTTTTCCGAAGGTGAGATGATGGCAAGTTTTGTGGACTTTGAGACCCCTGGATAGGAACTTTAATGTAAATTTTAGAATTGAAGGTTTGTGTTATTTTGTTGTATTTTAATTTAGTATTTATATTCTATTTATTAATAATCTTTCTTTCTACTCCTTTGTTGTCCATATTATTTGTTTACTTCAATTGTCAAACCTTTCCTACTCTTTTCTATTGCTAATGCTTATTTTTTTTGAAACTTATTTATTTACTATAAAATTTTTTTTAATCCATTATTTCAACTATTTAGTTCGGTTAATTATCTTCTCCTCTACATTTTCATCGTTATCACTCTTGATTTCTAACTTTTTATTATTAATCTGTTATTTTCCCCATCTATTATTCTTAAACCTGTTTAACCATTTGTATTGACTTTTCTTTTATTTGTAAAGGACTGTATTAATATAAGTCGAGAATGAGAAAAAGTAAGAGATGAGGCTATCAGTATTATTTAATACTTCATTCTTTATATATATATACTTTATACCTTATATAGCCTGTTCTTTACCCTCTTACTCTTATACTATTCTATCATTATATTCTTTATATAATATTGCATTTTATATATATCCAACTTCTCACTATTATACCTTTAGTTTTCAATGCTTATAAAACTATAATACTTAACATACATAGTAGTATGTAGCAGTTATATACATTATTATATTACTCTTAGATCTATGACTGTTATACTATGATATAATAGTATATGTATATATATATGATATACTACATTATATACATTAGTATTCATATGTGACTGCTATTGACTAGTAATATACTTATCTTTTATAAACTCCCCCTAAACCCATACGGTATAACCCTAGCTTAAGAGTATTTATAATACCTAATCACTGAATAATATATATGATAGAACTCAATAATGTAATTATACATATGAAGTATATAACCTGTAGGTATCCTACTATATAGGTATAGACAATTATATCCTGTATACCATATATATAGCCTATATAATCATTATATTACTTACCTCATCAGCTATATATATATAGTAGTATATTAATATTTAAGGGGTGGAGGTCGAAGTACCACATATAATTAGTATATATCATAGTATTGATCACATATATGATATATATATGTATTGTATATATATATATCAATATTAATATATTATATATATATATATATGATATACTAGTATATATATACTAGGTATAATATATATCTATATAACAATGATATAATAAAGCATATATAGTATAGTCAAATGAAATAATATATATATGGATGATGTATGTATGTATATAAGTATATATGGGTGAGGTGAGAGTAGAGAGTGGTTGGATTATGTATAATATAGTATATAGTAGTATATATGTGATACCGTCAACCAAACCATCAAACACGACCACACCAACACACCACAACCACACTATATATAGTATAAGTACTATATATATATATGTATATGTTATATAGTATATATAATACATGCACACCCATACAATATATGATATGGCATACACATTTTGAACCCATATAATATCAAGTAGACATATAGGCAATATCATACTCAAGCATATATGTATATTACCCCATATAGTATGTATTATATATATCATATATTGTTATGTGTACATATGTATATATATAGTTCATGTCTTAGGACATCGTCAGTTAGAGATCATTAAACCGTGTGCAAACCGTCAGGACGTGGAAACTCAAAAAACATTTAAATGTTTTCATACGCATGGGTGGGGGTTTTTTTTAAAAACTTCCCCAGGGCAATGCGGAATGCACGCCGAATAGCCGTGCGTGTGCACTCAGTTGTGTACAAAGTCTACAAATGTGTTTTTCTCTACTCTTCCTCAATCAACTGGAGTCAAACGTGTTACTGCCCATTAGAACTATATCACAATCATTCATTTATGTCTCCAGAAAATATATAGATAGAATAGAATACTCAATTCTTGGCCCCAGAAATGACTCAAAAATGCACTATCTAAATCCTTTGAAAGTTCACAAAAGCCTTTCGGTAAGTCATTATACAAACCCCCCCCCACCAAGAATTTCTGGATCCTAGCGAGGTCAGGCAAGGAAGTTATTCACTCATTAATATTCTGTCTCCCTCTGTCACAGATACTTGTCTGCTTTCTATAAATCTCAGGTATTACATGCAGGAGAGAAAGAAGTAATGTTCGTTTCTCTTCAAGCCTCCCTCTTCCTCTCTCTCTCTCTAGAACAAAACTACCAAAACTAATACTGCT